TATATATATATATATATATATGAACCCACACACACCACCCACACACACATATATATATATAAATATATACGTGCATACATATATATATATATATAGATATATATGTATATATATATAGATATATATATAGATATATATTTATATATATAGATATATATATATATATATGTATATATATGTATATACAAATATAGCTATACATGCATACATACATACATACATACATACATAAATACATACGTACACACATACATACACACACACACACACACACACACACACACACATATATATATGTGTGTGTGATTGGGCAAAGATTGCTTCAACTGTTGTAGACACGCTGAATAGAGTAACCGTTGACGAAATTGCGACAATCAACACTATAAAGCGAATACACGCAAATGCAAAATTATGCAGGTACTTCGAAGAAAAAAAAGTACAAGTAGACATCATCTGCAATTTATAACATGTTTCCGAGTGTGACCGTATGTGGTAGTCTACCTTTTGTCAGTGGATGTAGAATTGGTGGCCTGGACTTCGCCGTAGCCAGTAGTATATCCAGTCACCCAAGGGTCGTATTTTGCTGAGTGTTTCGCATCCTGTATGCGCGGATCAAGCTTCTTCTGTAGCTTCTTCATTGGAACGACTGGTGAGATGAACGGTGATATGTATATGTATAGCGGTGGTATGTATATGTAATAGGTAACAACACGATTATATTACTATTACGAGTTTCTATCGAAGCTCAGATTTGTGTGATGTAGTAAGTACATACATATTTAGATCTATTATGTATTTGAACGCAGAAACGTAAATATGACATTGGCTCTAAATTTCACGACGTGTCACCGAAAAATATACATTTCCGAATCGGATGTACGATAACACGTCGTACCGAACTTTCTCACAGTTTCGAACAGCTGTCGTCAGCAGGTAAAATACAACATGGCTGTCGGCTTGTATCATGTTTTTCTCTCTATATAATTGCATAGCCTTCAAAATTAGACATATTTAATCATACGTCTTATACATATATATTTATATATATATACTCATAGATATGTAGGCTATAAACGCATTGGCCAACAATTTACCTCTACAATCAATACTCAACATGGCCGAGACAGACGCACAGGATGACAAGCAATGTTGGATTTGTTTCGATACAGAAGCGGAAGATGTACAACGTGAGATCGAGAACGATCCCCGTGACTATGGCAACGTGAGCCGAGAAACGCTGAAGCTGTACTGCACTTGGGTTTCTCCCTGTAAGTGCTCAGGGGCCTCGAAGTGGGTACACCAGGGATGTATTCAGAGATGGATTGATGAGAAGCAGAAGGTAAGTAACTCTGATTCTATAAGGACAACTTAGGCTGTTCCGGATTACACATGCTAGTGAACTTTTTGTGTCCTGTATTATATATATATATATATATAACATATATATATATATATATATATATTATATATATATATATATATATTATTATGTATGTATGTATGTATGTATGTATGTATGTATG